AGACCCCTCGGAATGCAAGACCCCCTCCCCTAGCCTTCTCCCTCTCCTACTCTTGGATAGTGTTAGTGGAAATTCCTGAGACATGGGAGCATCCTGTCTATCTCGTCCTCTAGCTGGTTGTATGACCTTGGGTAAAAGACTGCTGAACTGTGAGGCCCTGAAAAGGAGAACGTGCTAACATAATTTCTATACCTCTTTGTTCTCTCTGTTGCTGGGGTAGTTCTTACACAAATAGATTGTATACCTGAGGCTCAGTCAATGAGCCGACGGGAAGGGGTTAGGGTGGCTGCTACCTTGGGGTCTATGGAATCTTGCCTTGAACAAAGAGCACTCAAACTCTCGGGGCAGCTGAGGCAGCATGGGGGTGCACTTTCTTGAGAAAGTCAATGAAGAGATCTCTCCTTTGGCAAACTTTTGTCAAGACTCTGGTGTTTTTTTTTAAACTGAGTGAAACAATGTAAACAACGTGAGATCTCTCCAATGGACTGAGTGTAGCAATTTCTTAGACTGTTACAAACTCAAGGTTGGTTACACTAGCCTCAATAGGCCTAAGTTTCAGGTTCCTAGAAAACACATGATTTGTACTATTATATCAGCATTGGTAATGGCTAATTACTAAAAAGGATAAGATAGCTAGGATTCGTAGTATTATAGTGAGATTCCTTGTTTCTGGGGTAGATTTTTGCGTTTTAGATTGTAAGGCTGAAATTCCTGTTCAATGGGAATTCAAAGCCAGTGGTGGGTGGGCATCTCTGTGTTAGGGCGATATAACCTTTGTCCTGGCATTTGTGCCTTGCCTCGCTTTGCTCGGACTGCTAGACGAAGCAGACGCCCAAAGCAGACGCCCGCTTCTCACGAGAACGTAATAAATCTTTCACCTTATAACTAGAAAATCTCTGAGTGTTATTTTTGGGTAACTGTAGCACACAGTGGGAATGAGCCTAGCCATGTTATTTTCGAGGACTGTGTCTAAGAAAAGGAGAAGAAATATAGAGGAAGGAAATTAATCTGATGCTGGTTCAAGTTTGTGGACTGTACTTACAGAATCAAAGAGTTGCAAGAGACTCAAGTTTACATGGTTGACTGCCTTTATCTTGCAGAGGGGGCAGCTAGGTGGCGCTGCAGTGAATAAAGAGTCAGGTCTGGAGTCAAAGAGGCTCATCTTTCTGGGTTCAAATTCAGCCTCAGACACTAACTGTGTCACCCTGGGCAAGTCACTTCACCCTGCTTGTCTCAGCTTCCTTTCTCATCTTCAAAATGAGCTGAGGAAGGAAATGGCAAACCACTCCAGTATCTTCACCAAGAAAATCCCAAGTAGGGTCACAAAGAGTCAGACACAACTGAAAATTACTGAACACCACAAATTTTGCAGACGGTGCAACTGAGGCCCAGAGAGGAAAAGGAATTTGCTTGAGGGCAAGTGAGCTCTTGAGCTAGAGATATGGGAGTGAGCATTTGTGGAGATGTCACCCTTGAGGTGGGAATTATTTGATACTCAGGGTCAGCTGAGGGAAGCTGAGGATCTGAGAGTTTACAAAGGTCCCTGACCAAGCCAATGGCTTCAACTTCTAGGCCAGGGTACCTCTCACTTTACTCCTCCTCTGGTGCATCATCAAGCCATGGTCTCAAAGGCCATCCTAGTGGAGGGTGGACTCTGGTAGGTCCTAGCCCCAGCAGGTAAAGTGCTTAAGGCAGATTGGGATACACACCTCAGGTCTGCCATCAAAAAACCAACCTCTTGTTCAATTCAGAGAGGCACTGGCTCCCTGGCTATTCTATGAATAAGACCCTTCATCTGTCAACTCTGGGCATTCTCTCTGGCTGTCCCCCATGCCTGGAATGCTCTCCCTCCTCAGCTCCATCTCCCCACCTCCCAGGCTTCCTTTCAGTCCTAACTAAAATCCCATCCCTATCCCTCTTAATTCTAGTGCCTTCCCTCTGTTAATTATTTCCCACTTATCCTATATATAGTTTGCTTAATCTATACAGGCACATCTCGTTTTATTGCGCTTCACTTTATTATGCTTCACAGATATTGCATTTTTTACAAATTGAAGATTTGTGGCAACCCCTATATCAAGCAAGTCTGTTGGAGCCATTTTTCCAAGAGCATGTGCTCACATTGTGCCTCTGTGTCTCATTTTGGTAATTCTCACAATATGGCAAACTTTTTCGTCATTATTGTATCTGTTACAGTGACTTGTAGTCGGTCTTCTTGGATGTTACTATTGTAATTGTTTTGGGGCGCCACAGACCATGCCCATATAAAATGATAAAACTTAATCGATAAATGCTGTGTGTGTTCTGACTGCTCCACTCACTGGCAGTTCCCATCTCTCTCCCTCTCCTCTGGCCTCCTTATTCCCCAAGGCACAACAATATTGAAATTAGGCCAATGAATAACCCTACAAAAGCCTCTAAGTGGTCAAGTGAAAGGAAGAGTTGATTCACGTGGCAAGCTTCATTGTTGTCTTATTTTAAGAAACTGCCACAGTCATGCCAACATTCAGCAACCACTACCCTGAGCAGTCAGCAGCCATCAACATGGAGGCAAGACCCTCCACCTGCACAAAGATTACGACTTGTTGAAGGCTCACATGATGGTTGGCATTTTTTTTTTGCAATAAAGTATTTTTAATTAAGGAATGTATTTTTTTTAGATATAATACTCTCATGTACTTAATAGACTGCAGTTTTATGTAAACATAACTCTCATATGCAGCGTGTGACTGGCTTTATTGCCATGAGCTGGAGCCAAATCCACGCAATCTCTGAGGTGAACACATTGCCTCCCCCATTCGACTGTAAGCTCCTCAAGGGCAGGGGCTGTCATCTGCCTATTTGTATCCTCAGCACCTAGCACAGTGCTTGGCACATAATAGATGCTTAATAAATGTTTATCGATTGATTGAAGACAACATACTAAAGCAGAGATACAGAAAACAGTGAAATCGGGAATTCCTGAAGTATGTAAGTAAGAGGCCTTAGAAATGCATGTATGTACCTGTCATTTCATGGCCCTTACTAAACGCTTCCACCTAGCAGGCGCAATATTGCGAACCCCACCAGGTACTATGCTTGTCCTCCATGTCTGCTTTAAATAGCTGTTTCTGGGGAAAAGAAACACAGGTTATCGATAGCTCCTCGTTCCTGTCTCACTCACGCACACCTAACGTGAATACATACACCTACATTAATACATGGATCCTTCTCCTCCCCCTCTTTCCCTGGCAGTACAACACACACAAGCCCCCAGGGGATGGCAGGGGAGGGGTGGGGCCCATGCAGCCTCCAGGATAGACACCAGACTAAACATGGCCAGAAATAGAACTCTGCACTGTGCCTGTCCTGACGTTCCATCTGGTAGAACATGGAGGACTGGCGCGGGGGAAGGAGGGAAGGAGAAAGGGAGGGAGGGAGGGAGAAGGAAGAGCCTTAAGGCAGCTTTGTGGGATTCAACAATTGAAGTCACCCAATGCTTATTAAGTGTTTACTATGGACCCGGCCCCTGTGCTCTGAGCTGGGGATCAAAAGATGAAAAAATGACACAGCATCCTGCCTTCAGTGAGCTTATCATCTACCAGGGAAGATGAGACATGTATACAAGTATAAGACGAGGTATTCGGGGATAAAGGCAAAAAAGAGATGGGACAAAGTGCTCTAGAAGAAGTGAAGGAGGACTAGATCACTTCTGGCTGGCTGCAAGGGAGCCTCCCATAAGAGAGGGCACCTGAGCTGGGCCTTAAAACTAAAGGGTTTCTGTAGGCAAAGATGAGGGGAGGCAGGGTTCCGGGCAGGCCACATAAATGCACAAAGATGGGAGGACAAGATAGTCTAATTTGGCTATAACATAAAGAGCATGAGGAGGAGAGATGAGAAATCAGATTGGAAAAGTCAGCTGGAGCCAGATGGGGGAGAGAAGGAGTTTGTATCTTATCCAAAAGGCCAGAGTTTTAACCCATGCTTTCCAAACTGTCCGGGGCCATGTTGAGCATCTTTTGTTTGGTGTTAAGGAAAGGCCATGGATCCCAGCGACCCACATCTGGGGCATTGTGGCCAGTGTTGGGCATCACATTTCTGGAAGGGCTTTGACAGCTACAAGTTATCAAGGGGATCATTTGTAAGCATTTGGAAAGGGAAATAGGAAATTAATGTGCTAGACTAACCGTGTTTCCTTTTCTTCTTTTAACAGGGTTACCTCTGCATCAGCTTGGCCCATAGCTGATAAATTCTGGAGTTCCAACTGTCAAAGATCACCTGCTAAATCATATAGAGATTGGCTTTTGCATTGGTGGAGGGAGAATCCACAAAACCAAAATGGTAGCTCCTTAACATAATTTTGATCCAGGGGATTCTACAGATATATTATACCTGGGTTTCAACAAAGCATTTGACAAAGTCTCTTACACCAGAGGTGAAAAATTCTGGCAGCAAAAGGCTCAAACCAGATGGAAATGTTATTGGGAAATGTTTAATGAAATAAATACAAATACAATACAACATCATCTTAATTTATAGTTTTCTAAATCAATAAGCCAGAGGGATCTGATTCTATTTGAGTCTGTCACCATTGTCTTACACTATCCTTATGGCAGGATGTAGAGATATGGGCTAAATGATAGGACAGTTAGGTGGCCTCTGAATGGGTTAAAGGACCATTAATGGGTTCCTATCAACTTGGAATGAGGTTCCTATCAGAATCTCCCAGGGTTTTATCCCTTGGCCTGATGTACTCAACAAAGCATGAAGGGATTTACAGATGAGAGTGACTGCAGAACTCTGATTCCCTTTTTTACAGATGAGGAAAAGGAAGACCAAAGAGGTTAGGTGAGTTATCCAAGGTCACACACATGTAGTCAATAGCAGAGCTAGGATTTGAAGCTCCAAATCCAGTACTCTTTCCATTACACCAATACATTACTCCAACACCATTGGTTAAAGTCACAGAAGGCATGCTTGTCAGTGTCGCCGAGAACACATATATGAGAGAGATGACTAACCTGGTAGATGACACAGTCAGGATCCCGAAAGATCTCACTAGGTCAGAAAGCAGGGACAGACCTAAAAATAGAAATGTAACAGGGATAAATAGAAAGTCTTATGGTTAGGTTCAAATAATCAATTGCACAAGTACAAGATGGGGAAGTGTGGCTAGATATCAGGTCACATGAAAAGGATCTCTGAGTCTTAGTGGACAGGAAGGGAACAAGCATTTACTATGTACCAGACACCATGCTAAGCTACATCTTATCGCATTAGCTCAATTGGAGGCCACAGTATGATCTGGCAACAACAAAAATTGAATTTGATCTTTGGCTGTATTGAGAGGCATGATGCCCAGCATTAGAGAGGCAGAATCCAGCTGTCCTCAGCCCTGATCAGGTAACATGTGAAGTAGTGGGTTCCGGTTTGCAGTGCCTCATTTTAGAAAGAACAATGACAAGCAAAAGAGCCCTCAGAGGAAGGCTACCATTTTTCTTTTGAGATCAGGTGGTAGGGAGAAAGAGAGGAGGAGGAATTATGGGGGAAGAGATTTAGGGAGTTTAGGAATTGTTCCTTAAGTCCAAGACTGAAATCTGGGGGAGAGAAATTTAAAAGAATTGTGGAAGAAAGTGAAGGAGGAGGAGGAGGAGGACTTGGGTTGCAGGTGAAGGAGAAGGAAGAGACCCAAAAGGAAAAGGAAGTTGGGTGTGATCATCAAGGTGCTAATGAAGTGACATGAGGAATGACAACTCCAGAGTGGAAGACCCCAGTAGGCATTGCAACAACAGGAAGTTGGCCACAAGAGTTACTAGCAAGAACAGCAAAGCACTAAGGATCCTGACTGAAGAAAGAGCAAGGAGAACTTGACCATGGCCTGCATAGAATACATGATGTTTGTATGTCTGCCATTGACAGACATACAAATATCTATGCTGAAAGGGCAAGTTCATCTCTCTCCTAAAGCAAGATGTAAAGGAGCTCAAAGAAAATCTCCCCACTGGCCAGAAAAAAATGAAACAATCCCTTTAAAAATGGAAAAACAAAGAAAAAAGATCTGAGAAGGAGAGGGAAATTTTGGCCTGCATCAGAGACAAACGTGCCAGTAAAGAGAAAAGAAAGAAGTACCATTGAATGCTTACAGGTGAGCAGCAGATATGAAGCTTTTCTTGGAAGAAAAAAAAGCTTTATATTTTAAGACGTTATTCATGTGAAGAAATCCAGGAACCCAAGCAGGGGAAGCATGATAGAGAATATTCAGGGTCAACAGACATACACAGAAGTGATGCTGTCATCAAAGTATGCTACAGACCACCTATTCAGAAAGAAGACATAGATGAGGAGGTTTGAGAAAAAGATCAGAATCCTGGCACTGAGGCATGATACAGTAGTGATGAGAAGATTCAGTTATCAAGACATCTATTGGATCTCACTCTCTGCCAAAAAGTAGAGAAGCCATTAAGTTCTTGGTTTGCATTAATAACAATTTCATCCTACAAAAGTTAGAGGAACCAAAGAAGGAAACCACTATTCTGGACCTGACTCATATGAACAATGAACAACTGATTGTTAAAAGGGATGCCTTGGGAACTTGGGGAGGGGGGGGAAGGGCCAGAAATGACAAGTCCATCTTAGAATTTACAAAAGAAAAGAAAAGTAAGCATAATGTTGCTGTGATATCTTGATTTTTTTTTTAAAGAGAAGAAAGAGGAATCTGTAAGTTATAGGCTTGACTTTGATTCTTGGAAAGAGGCAACACAGCACAGTGAATAGAGAATAGTCAGGAAGGACTGGGTTCAAGTTTTGCCTCTGCCACATACTATCTGTGTGACTACAGGTAAGCCACTCACTCTCTCAGTCCCAAATATGTCTAAGCACTAGCAGCAGGCTTTTTCTGCTATGGACCTGCCTCTTCCCTCCCTAACACCCTTTCCCCTCTGCCCTTTTTCTGGAAACTCCCCAACTCTCACACACACACACACACACATTCACATACGCACTCTCCTTTTCACTATTTCCCTCACTGGACAATCTCTAGCATCTCCCTGCCTGTGTTGTTAAAGATGGGAAACCAAACAGATGTACTCATGCCCTCCCTTGCAAGTGAGCTGCTCCGGCATGGAGGAGACAGTCCCCCCAACCATCTCACATGGTTGTGAGACTGGGAAAAATGATAAAGACCGTCAAAGCTCTGAGTGCCAAGTCCTAGCTGAGCCTCCCTCCTCCTCCTAGGGCTTGAAAATCTTTGCTGTAATAAAGAGTTATTGCTTCACCCATTACTGACCTGTCTAATTCTTGTGGAAAACTCTTTTAAGTCCCCAAACTGCTGTAAGGGACTGGGACAGTAGCATTAAAAGTTGAGCAGTGATTCCAAAGAGCCAGAGAAGGCCTCATCAAGAACAGGTCATACAGACTCATCCCGTCTCCTTTTCTGACATCATCACCAGCCCGACAGACCAGGAGATACTCTAAATTTCAGCAAAGCATTTGCCCAAGGCTCTCATGCCATTCTTGCAGACAAGATGGAGAGATGCAAGCTGGATGAGAACACGGTTATGAAAACTCTCAGCTGGCAGAATGGCCAAACCAAGAGAGCAGATGACACAAGGCCGAGAGGGTCAGCTAACAAGAGAGACAAGAGATAGGATCCCAAAGAGCTCAACAGGCCAGGTCATTGGACTGAATCTAATAAGATGAAATAGGGATTGAATAGGGATAGGGATAGGGATATATAGGGATAAACATAAAGCCTGGGCACTGGAGTTTTAAAAAATCACTCTCTCAAGTATAAGGTGGGGGAGGCATAACTAGACAGTATTCCTTCTGAAAATGATTTGGGGTTTTTGGTAGACTCCAAGTAGCCCTCAAAGCTAAGGTAATCCTAGGTTGAATCGAGTGTGGCCCGAACTCAGGTCTGACCCTATATGGAGTGCTGGATTCAGTTCTGGGTGTTGCATTGCATTATCAAGGCAACACTTTGATGAGTGAGAGTGTCCAGAGGTCAAGGGCCTCAAATTCATGTCATAGGAGGGTCGGATGAATGACAGAAATGAGTTTTTTTAGTCTGAAGAAGAAAAGACTTCCAGGGGGTGGTACATATTATTTGTCTCTAAGTACCCATGCAAGAGGGGTCAACCTTGTTCTGCTTGGAATTCCTGGTCAGGTCAAAGTTGGACTGGGTTCCTTGTGGGGACTCTTTTGCCTCTGAGGTTCTAGGGTACTAGGAAGTAGACGGAAATACCGGTGATGCTGAGGAATCTCCCCTAGGGCCATGGGCTCTTCTGAGATGGCAGCAGGAGGGTGGCCACATTGTAAGGCCAGCTGAGCAGGCCACAGGCTGGGTGAGTGAGGATGCTCACTGTTCTCTGACCCTTACTCATTAGGCAAGAACCGAGGCTCTTGTACCTGCAGACCCCAGAGAAGCCCAAACAGCAGGCTGCTCCCACGATGCCAGGGACCACTCCTGCTATGCAGGCAGTCTGCTGCCAAGCAAACCCCATAGCTCGCTGTTTCACTTGCTCGCTCTCTCCTTCCCTCTCTCCCTCCCTCCCTTCTTCCTTCCTTCCCTCTCTCCTTCCCTTCCTCCCTCCCTCCCTCCGACAGCCTGCCTGCTTAGCACAGACCTAGAGTGGGTGTGGGGCCTCTCTGACAAGCTCCTGCTTCCCCCCACTGCTTCTGGGGAGGAGGGAAGAAGGGAGAGGCGGAGGTGAGAGAGAAAACACACAGCCATTTTGGCAATTAAATTTCCGAACCTTTTCATTATGCAATTTCAATTCATTAAAAGGTTTTTCCCTCCCCCCCCCACCATACCCCAAACTCCCTTTTAAATGTAAAACCCCACCAAGTTCCCCTGGATGGGAATCAAGGCCACAGAGCCCCCAGGCCTGCCTTGTGGCCCAGACAGGAGGGGCTTTTAGCCTTGAGCAGAAGCGGTACAATAACCACGCTGTTCCCCTCCTCGGCCACGGCAGCTGCACAGAAACCAAAGGGTTTCATAGGTACAGACGGCGGCTCCTGGGCTTCGGCACCAAGAAAGGGCCAGCTGCCAAGTGGGAAGAGGCCACGTGGCGGCGGGGGGTGCTAGATGAGGCGGCTTCCCTCCGTAAGCTGCCAGGGCCAGCCTTTGAGTCCTGCTGGACATCCTGCTGACCCCTGCTTTCCTCCAAGCTAGCATTTGGACGGCCTTAACGCTTACAAGGCGCTTTCCGAATATTAGCTCATTTAGTCCTTGCAGCCACCCTGGGAGAGAGGTGCCATTATTATTGTCATTTAACAGAAGAGAAAACTGAGGTTCACAGACATAAATTGATTTACTTACGATCCCAAAGCTAGTCTGAAGCAGGAGTCAAACACCCGACTCCAAGTCTTAGCTCAGCCTTATCTAAGAGCTTCACATTTTAAGCATCAAACTTCAGTGGGGGGGGGAATGGAGGACAGTTGTAAATAGACAAGTGGGCAGCCCCGCCTTTGATTCAACATCGAGTTGTCTCCTGGGAAAGAGGGAACCATTTGGAACCTGTGGCTCGAGTCCCTGGCCAAGCCAAGAGCCCAAGGGAAGCCAAGTGTTGGGTTGGCAGCCGGCCTAGCTGGAGACACAGATGTGTTCACTGGACACCTGGGCATACCTGGCAACTCCAGAAGACTCGGGCCTACCTTTCCCCAGTTCCAAAAGGGGCTATATCAGCTCAAGTCTGGCCTTCTGCACGAAACCTGCCCTCACTCCTAAGCTTAGAGGAGTGAAAGCTAGAAGGGAACTCTTAGGAGTCATTTAAGAGATGAAGAAATGAAGGCATAAGGAGGTAAGATGACTTGCCCAGGGTAACACAGATAGTTTCTGAGGTGGGATTGGAGCCCAGGTCTTCCTGACTCCAGTTCTAACTCTCTACCATTCCACATTTCAGTTAAGTCCATCTGACTCCTTTGACAGATGACAAAACTGAGGTTCAGAGAAGGGCAATGTCAAGCTTGAGGTGCTGAAAGGACCCCCTGGCACGGTCACAAAGCTCTAAGAGGGTAGAGCTGGGTCTCCAAGTCAGGCCTCCTGCCCCAAAATCTTATCCAACGCAACACACAAATCCTCA